CATGCAATGAGGAGATTATGGAAGGTTAACGACATGAAAACTTATGCAAACGAACAAAAAAAAATCTTTAAACAAAAAACACCAGCAAGAATTACACAGAAACATTAAAAAAAAAAACATTTGTAAAATTTTTCTGTATGCTCACGATTTTATCTTAGAAGGAACCTTTAATCTGTCAGTATCAAACCTATGTGCTTCTCCTCTGTGGTTACTATTCCTCTGAACTTCGGGATTGAAAAATCCAAGTGCTACTTTAAGAAAGGGTTCTATTTACTATCCTTTGCTGAATGAACCCCTAAAATATCTATAATTAGGTTTTATCTAAACATCAACCAACCGGCCATAGATGCCCAGATTACTCTAAGCCAAATTCTATCCTATCAGAGCAGCTGCCACATTTCTCCTTTCTCTGTGCCTGCCCACAGCAGAGATGGGCCTTCTCTGCGTCGCCCCTCCTTCCTTCCCAAGTATAAACTGGGAGGCAGCTTAGCTCATCAAGTTTCTTCTGGCTTTAAAGTTTTGATGTCCTGTTTTTATTAAATCTTAGTCTGTAAATTCATTACTTTCTGGCCCTCAAAAGGACAAGACTGAGCTGTTTTGCAAGCTCCTTCAAAGACTAACATGTAAGATTAAAAATTTTATCATTTTCATTGTAATTAACTTCAAATGACAAACTGAATTTTATTATTTTTTTATAAAGAGTAGGTTTTATAATGAAGAAATGGGACTGTGGCAGGCTGGGCCGGGCAAGGAGGTCGAGCATCTGGCCAAGAGGAATGAATGGGACGTGAAAGCCAGCCTCGGCCGGGCGGCCAGCTGCTCAGCATTAGGGCGCTGGACCCAGGTGCATCTCTGGGGGGAGTCTGGACAGGTGAGGCTGGGAACCGCTGCCGTGAGGTGTGAGGGATGACAAGAACCTCCCTGAAGTTCTCTAGACGGTGGGCTGTGTACAAAATGTACACATCACTCTAACCTGCATCCATGTTGGCAAAGCGGGGCCAGAGGTGGTGGGTGGGGTAGGGGTGGGGGACAGTGGAGTAGTGTGAGGTCGTGGAAGCTGCACAGGCCTGGGGGTGACACAGGCTGGATAGTCCAGGTGCACTAGGCAGGGGCCCAGCATGAGGCCTCCAGACGTGACGGCACCTTCCACCTGGGCCACTCATCTTAAACGGGGCAGCACTGCCACCTGTGCCCGTTAGTGAGGAAGCACAAGCATCAAACCCCCACCCCCACCCCCTGGCTCCACCTTACAGCTGGCATTTTCCCAGACAGTGGGCATGAGCGTGAACGCCATCTCAGGTAAACCAGGTCCACAGCCGAGTGAGAGGCCCCTACACACTAGGACGGAGCGCAGGGAGGGCACATGCCAGGCTCAGCACCCAGCTCTGCCACTCACCAGCCAGGACCTGGCTCTCACCTCAGTCCCTCAGCTCCCTGCTGTCTCCTGCCTGAGACTAAGGGAGCGGTGCACGTAGAACCCCTGGAAAGTGCTGTGTAGACACGAGTTATCAGGAAGCCGAAGGTCTAGAGGGGACCCCCAGGAGTCAGAGGGCACCATGGCGTCCCTCTGAAATTGCAGCCCAGGACTTGACCAGAAGGAGGAGAGCAGAGTTCCAGTCAGCAATGGAAGGGCCATCTTGTCTGGACACAGTCCTGTGGCTCTAGAGCTTCCACAGGAGGTCACGAGTGGTAATCACTTACACGTGGAAATTAAGAGTGTTCTGAGCAGGTAGAAGGTAGGACTGAGAAGGGCAGGCAGCTAAGGCCTTTCCTAGAAACAGGAAAGGGCTCAGGCATGAGGGAAATTGAGAAAACACAGATCCAACTTCATAGTGAAAACCAATGGATCTAAAAATACAATCACTGTTCAAATTTAGTTCACAGAGCACCCTGTGAACGCCAACATTGGAATCGCAGAGCAGAGCGTGTGGTTGTGACAATGGAGGCGGAAAGCAGTGTTGATGACGGAGCAGGGTCACAGCAGAACCTGACAAAGCGACTAGAGCCCTGACGCAGGGCAGAGCGTTTCCAGAATGAAAAGACGTAAGCACGGGCCGCTGGCGGAGGCGCCGCCATCACGCAGCCGGCCATGCAGCTGTCCTGGAGCTCTGCCACAGAAAACTCTTCCTCAAGAGTGGAGCACCACCGTGGGCCGCAGTGCAGGTGGAGGGGCGCATACTGTCGGGGTGCCTGAGCCTCGCCCACCCCTTGAGGTCCTGACTTTCCTCCTCTATGACCTAGGACAGTGATGGCGAACCTATGACACGCGTGTCAGAGGTGACACGCGAACTCATTTCTTTGGTTGATTTTTCTTTGTTAAATGGCATTTAAATATACAAAATAAATATCAAAAATATAAGTCTTTGTTTTACTATGGTTGCAAATATCAAAAAATTTCTATATGTGACACGGCACCAGAGTTAAGTTAGGGTTTTTCAAAATGCTGACACGCCGCGCTCAAAAGGTTCACCATCACTGACCTGGGACAATACACCTGTTCTTGACGTTCTGCCTGCCCCTCTTTTTCATGTGGAAACAGAAATGAGAACTCCTCACAGCTGCAAAGCCTGACCCCAACTGCCTCCAGGACCAATGACTTGAAGAGTCTCACCAGCTGTTGAGTTGCTAGTAAGTCAGTCATTAGCCAAGAAAGGGTGACCCTCTGGACTAATAACTAAGCCATGGGTGGCTTCCTTTTACCCCGAAGAAATTAAAATAAGTGTTTGCTAAAGGCACCAAGAACAGTGCCATGAATCAAGGTGCTACAGCCAGACCCTGGGAAACAGATAAACGAGATCAGCTCCCCAAGCAAGGTCAGACTCGCACTGTCTGCTCCAGGAAATGCTGTCCGTTCCCAGGAGGAGCTGAGTCACACACTCAGTGCCTGTCCGCCCTGAGGACCTGGTTCGCAGGGAGAGAGCGTGCTTCCGGGTACCGCCTGCACGTCTGTCTCACTGACCCCCCAGCGCACAGAGGGACTCTACGAAAGCCACGTTCTAAGGCTTCTGCTTGGTCAGGAGGAGAAAGCAGACTGGAGGAAGGTTTCTGAAAGCTTGCAAAGAAAATTTACATCTCACAGTGAGATGAACCACAAGAAAACCCAATGCATCGCTGTGGTTTCACTTTTTCCATGGAAGAGTTACTTTATTTTTTCCTGGGCTCCCTCAGGACTCAGGTTTGTTCATCTCATCATCAGATGCAGCCACCAATGTTAGTCACAGCAGGGGCACATTTTACAGAACAAGCACCAAGCAAGCACACACAGTCACTGAAATCACGCAAGAAGTGAAACGCATGCCCCGCCACTCCCCACCGAGGACAGCACTAGGAGCTGCAGCCACATTCTCGCAGTCTCCACCAGCACGAGGAAGACGACACGGGAACTCACAAACAGTGCTCTGTAGACTGAGGCAGTATTCTCACAGAACACTAGTCCCGATGCTCGCCTCTCTTTTAAGTGGCCACAGCCAAAGCTTCCCTCGTGGATACTCTTAGGAAGTGGGGATGGGAGGAGAAGCAAAGAATGGTGGTTGTGATCAACGCACACACAAGAAGCACCAGTAACAGGAGTGCAAAGGGCAGTCACAGAGCCACGGGACGGGGAGCGCCGGCCACGCTCTGTGGGAAGTGACCCCAGCAGCAGCAGTGCCGCGAAGGCCCTTTGCCCGTTGGCCAGAGCACGCTTCACGCACAAAGTGCCCTTTAACAGAGGTTAATAGATTTACTTGCTTCTTTTGCTTCTGTGACATCATTCAAATTTTAATTTAATGTAATAAAACACAGTTTTGAAGAGCAGCCTAGTCCCTTCTGATACACTATTCTGTATATCCTAAAATATATCACATTCATTTCCATCAGGCATGATAAAGATTTGATAACAAACATTATTGTGGTTAAAAACAAAAAATTCTACCATACAAGAAATTCTGTAGAAAGGTTAAATAATAATGAAACTTCCCTCAATTTGAAACTAGAACAGATAAAGCCACCGACTTCAGACTGGAAGACAGGCCAAAAGGTGAACACGTTAAGAGAAAGTCAGAGCTACATCGGTAAAGAAACTGTCCAAGGAGCACAGGACAGCTGGCCCCGAGCGGCGTGCGGGCCCGCAGTGCTCACGCCCGGGCTGTGCGGGACGCTGATTCCCGTCGGGGCAGGGAATCCTCCTCAGCGGAGGATTAGGTTACACATGGGTTTTCGGCGTGGGGTTGGCAGCCCTCATCCCCATGTTGGTCAAGGGCCAATTATATATACAATTACATAGACAGAGTTCAATTACATGTTCCCAATATGAAGAAAAATAGATGACCGATCAGACTGCAATTGTGAAAACTTTAAATAAAGTGTCCTGATACACTGAGTACACGACTGTGCTGTTGCACAAAGCCCAAGTAATGCACAGTTTTGAACCCTGAGAGGTCCTAACTGAAATGAGGTGACTTCATGAAGTAAAGGACAAACCGTCCAGCCGCTGAGCTGAGACCAGAATGGAGGCCAAGTGAAACCCTGAGGTGGCAGCTAAGGGCCGAGCTGCACGCTGCTCCCTGCGTGTCCACGGGAAGGGACGGGGACACACTAATGACCTGGATGGTGAGCATTATCATCATCGTGGGAGGGGGCACTGCATCTGGGAGCAGCCATCTTTCTGTCAACAAAATTGGCCTTCAACACAATGACAGAAAGCAAGAATGGCCATCTACTGACCAAGTGGTGGGCACTCAAAAAATTATCAAAACAGCCCGGCTGGCGTGGCTCAGTGGCTGAGCATCAGCCTGAGACAGGTGGTCATGGTTCAATTCCCCGCCAGGACACATGCCCAGGCTGCACGCTCATTCCCAGTAGGGGGCGTGCAGGAGGCAGCCGATCAAGATTCTCTCGCATCATTGATGTTTCTATCTCTCTCCACTTCTCCTTTCCTCTCTAAGATCAATAAAAATGTATTTTAAGAAATATGTCAAAGCAATAGGACATTTATAATGAACAGTAGGGTCAAACTATGGTGGTGGGGGATCAGACCAGGCCTCCCACGACTGAAAATGTATATGGTTTTTCTTCTCCAAGTTATAGTCATTACCCATAAAAACTGTACTTTATGGTTTTTTCTAAGAGCAAAACAATTCTGATGCTAACAAGGTGCACTGTTCTGGGCTGCAGAAGCCACGTGTGCGGTAGGAGACCGCCAGGGGCAGTGCGTGTCTGTCTGCCAGGCAGTGTGTCCTCACACCCAGGGCACTCAGTACTCAGTCCTCCCACCACTGGGCCGCCCGCCATCTGGCCAGGCAGCTGCAGGGTGAATCTGGGTTTGTCATCAGAGCTGCTTCATTTTACTCCCACACCAAGTAGAGAATGAAATGTTACTACTCAGTCATTTCCTACAGAACATCCTCTTCCCTAACTACTACGGAGTTGGGTGAATCTCCTCTGTATTGAAGATTTAGTCATAAAGCATGTCAGAGGAAAGGGCCATCTTGGTGATAAAAAGGAGTTCAACACACTGTTGCACCACCCACTCCACACCGCTCTGGGCTGGGGTGAAGAGAAGACACAGCAACAGGAACAGGTGACAGTGTGGACACCAGCACACACGAGTTCCCACAGTGCTACCTACCGGAAGGTTCCTCGCTGAATCCAAATACAAGATCAGCAAGGAAGAAGAAAGGCCATCGCTGGCTTGGTCTTTGTCAGCCCTGATGTCTGTCAGCACCTACCAGGGAGGAGAAGAGTCTCAGCAGGCACATTTCCACATCATTAGACTCCTGCTCCCCAGTGACGGCGGTAACGCTCCAGCAACGGGAGAGGGAGCAGAGAACCCCAATACGTGCAAGCGGAGTGGGAGTAGGAAAGATTCTCTACAAATCAAAGGGAGGACCAGTGCCCTGTGGCCCTCCAAACCCCGGCTCTGCATCAAGCACAGGATTTGAAGATCCTGTAAAACAGGTGTAAATGGCCTTCAAATCTCTTTAAAAATGCCATCATCTTTAATTTATCCCTGAGGCCACCACTGTGACTGTGGCACAACCAGCCAAGGTGCGCCTGTAGTTCTCTGAAAGGCGTGGGTCTCAGCTGGCAGGAGCGCGTCACACACCTGGTCCAGGTGAGCAGCGTGTGGCATCAGTGTGAGCCACTCCAGTTTCAGGTGCAGCTTTCCTCTGGGGACCTCGTCCAGCGTGAACCACTGAAGACAAACGGTGCAGGTTAGCAGTTCTCCTGAATCGACATTCGAGTCAACAGTCTGCATAATGTCCTAAGAGGCTAGTGCCTGCGGCACCAACACTGATCGCGGAAGCCGAGGACGGAACCCTCCACACCCAGCCCCAAGCTCTCTCCCCACAGGCATGTGGCCCACACCCGTGGCCCACACCCACCCCTGCCTGCTGCCTGGGACCATCTCAAGGCTTCACAAACACTAGCTCCTCGAGACCACCAAAGCCCTGGGAGGTAACGTTCACCCTAATTTATATGCAGGGATTCAAATGTCTATCAGCTCCATCAGCTTCTAGAACTTATGGGCCTAATATAACATCAAACCCAAATGCTGAATTTCAATATCAAACAAGTTAACATGTTTGTTTTTATTCATTACTATATACTAATAGCAAAATAGTACAGTTATTTCAGCTTAAAAACCACAAAGCAATGAACCAAAGGCGGCTGAGACCCTGTGCTCGAAGAGCCGCTGTGGCCCAGGCCCAGCACACAGGCGCTCGCGCTCCCTGGTGAGCGATGGCCACCAGCGCTCGGCCACTCTGACCGCAGCGCTGACTTGGTGAATGACGCTTTCCTTGGCCAATCTCACACACCGTTTACAAGCACCACAAACCCTACTCCCTCATACTTTTATTCCAATAGCAGTATCCTGCTTGAGGGGCATCTGCTCGCTGCAGTCCCCTGCCTTCGCAGGCGCTTTCACAGGACGACCTCCCATCACAGCACAGTGCCACCTGCTGTGGCGCCAGCATCTTTAAAATGCGCTTGACCTGACAGCTGCCGGCCTGCCCTGCCCCAGCAAGAGCACCGCCCGCCTGAGGGAAACGTCCAGCGTATGTGGTAGGTGCTCAGTACACACACTAAGATCTGGTTCTTAAACTCCTTTTCTATTACTTTGCTATTACGAACAAGCTTAAGTTCTCATATTTGAGAGGCAAATGTTGAGTTTTCAGGATGGGGTGGGGCAGGAAATAGCCAGTGCTCAGTAAGTAGAACAAGACTTGCAGAAAACTTACTTCATCTAGAAGGCGCTCCTTTTCCACTTCGGTCAGATCAATCATGAGACTAGAGAAACAACACACACAACTTCAGAGCGGAGAAGCACACTTCTTCAACCAATGACCTTAGGCATTTGTCTATGAAAAAGGACTTCAGAAACGCAACAAAATGCTAGTTTATCAAGAAGCAGACTGTTGGCTATCCTGCACCCATTAAGTATGTGTCTATCATTTTACTTTTTATCCAATCCCAGAGGTCTCCCCCGCGCCCCCCCACTTTGTTTTCTCCTGCCTCTCTAGTCTACCACCAATGGACTTCATGTAAACCACCTAAATCCCCTCCCTTGATTGCAATGTATAAAAATAGATGAAAACCGGCCATTCTCCAAAGCATTGTCTCAATCTGTTGAGATACTGCTTCCCAGCAATTGTTTGGCTCAAATAAACTCACAAAAATTCTTTACAGCTTTGAATGTTTTTACGTTAACAATAACGTTTGAAAACCCATTCCTACAAGCCACAGCAAAGCTGCCTGTCTGGTGCAGAGAGCTGTCCTGGCCTGCAGGACCAAAGCCACACGGGGCTACTGAGCACTGAAAATGGGGCAAGTGCAACCACAAAAGCGATTTTTGAATTGTGTTTAACTTCAGTCAGTTTAACTGAACTGGCTGTCTATGCTGGTGGCTGCTGACGGACACAGAGCTAGAAGCTTGCCTTCTTACTCACACAAGAACTTGTTAGGCCCTAAACGTGTTAGGAAGCCTAAGTGAGGCAAATGTTATATCTAACAGCCACTTAAAAACCCACACAACATGTACACAAATCTGTTAGTGAAGGTAGTTTTAAGAGATTTTTAAAAACAAAGCGTGACCTGCGCTCTGCTCAGTCGTGAAGGACTTACCTTCCTAGAAAGTCATCCTTGTCTGGGTCTTCATCAAAGAGCTCAATCTCCAGTTCCTGCCCAGGATGCTCATAGACCAAGGCCTGGAAGGTTAGTGACGGCAGTGACTTACATTTTACCCACAGTGTCACCCACTGAGCACGGCAGTGATAGCGACAGCACCCGTGTCTGCCCCAGTGTAAGTCCTCAGGAAGCACTTCCCTTTTCTCAATGTAAACCGAGTACCTCTCCCACATGGACACGTGCGCCCACATAGTGCCAGCCCGTTGTGCTTGTTTCAGGTGGGGTACGTCTCAGGGGGCCGAGGTCAGTGAGGACAGGACAGGCCTGCAGATGTGCAGGTCCCACCCAGACGCTGTCCTCAGGTAACCAACCGCCAAAAGCACCACTCGGAGGTAAGGAACTCGGCGACAGGCAGGACTGAGGCCGAGAAGCTGGTGGAGCGTGACCTGCACTAAACCTGGGCGTCGCTCTGCTCCCAGCACGCGTAGCTTGTGGTGCAACAGTTCCACACTGAGGAGCTCTGCCTGGGGAAAGGTGGCTGACACTTGCACAGCACCAGTTAGGTACCTACTGAACTAGCAGCTGAGCTTTCTCCAGGAAAAGAAATGGCAGCATCTACTCAGTGAATGGCTATTGTAAGTCAGGTCCGTTTCTATCCTATATAATAGAAGTGTAGTATGCAAATTGTCCCCTTGACCGGGAGACAATTCGTCTGGGAGTTCGACCAGGGGGTAGGGCTGACTGGGGGGAAGGGAGGGAGAACTCAGCTGGAAGTCATTAGGGACCCTACCAGTGCACGAGTTTTGTGCACTGGGCCTTTAGCATACTAATATATATACATCCTATGTAATAAAGAGGTGATATGCAAATGGTTGTTACACTGCGATGCTTAATGACTGACAGCAGGAGGGTGGGGCAGCGAGCTACAAGTGGATGGCGGAGAGGGACAGGAGGGGGCAGAGCAGCAAGCTATGAGGGGGTAGAGGGAGAGGGGGCAGGGAGGGGGAGCTACAGGGGTGGGGCAGTAGGCAGAGAGCTACAGGGGGGCTGGGCTATGAGTGAGCAGGGCAGCCAGCTGAAGCAAGCAGCAGCTAGCTACTCACGCACGGATTCGTGCACAGGTCCACTAGTTGTTTTGTGTGTGTGTGTGTGTGTGTATATATATTTAATCCTCACCTGAGGATATTTTTCCATTGATTTTTAGAGAGTGGAAGAGAGAGGGAAAGACAGAGAAACATCGATGTGAGAGAAACACATCACTTGGTTGCCTCCTGCATGAGCCCCAACCAGGGTCCGGTCCGGGGAGTAGCCTGCAACTGAGGTACACGCTCTTGACTGGAATCAAAGCTGGGACCCTTCAGTGCACAGACCGACGCTCTATCCACTGAGCTAAACCAGTTAGGGACAGGTCTGTCTGTATTCACTGGCATGTATCAATGTTCAGGTGTTAAATGATAATTTACAAGACAGTACCTAATCTCATTTTTGCATATGTATGTGTTAATAACAACATAAAACATTCACATTATGAGAAATTTTGCCAATTATTCACTGTGATCATTTTATGTAATTAAGATCTAAAATGTTAAGTGTTGGTATAACAAGAATGTAGTGTGGGGAAGACAGAAGGTGCAATACTTTTTAAAGATGGGAATTTGAAGCAAAGAGAATTTAAATCGCCACCTAGATGAACTACAGCCTGGGTGACGGGAGTGGAAGCGTGGCTCAGGATGAAGCCGTGGCAGCCAAGGCAGGCCTTACCTCGTACACCTCGTTCCACTTTGGACTCAGGTTCTCTTTGATGACCTTGCTTTGGAAGATCTGATTGCCGACTCGAATCACTCCATAGGGGTCTGACTTTCCCTTGACAAGTCCCTTCAGGTAAGTGTCCTTCCCCTGGAGGTCCTGAGCTTCAATGAAATGCACCCTTAGAACACCCTGCAAAAGACAAGAGTGCCACGCTCTCTGGGTCATCAGACAGGACACGGCTGGTGCTGGCCGTCCGTTCCAGGAGCACAGCGCGGAGCTGACAGCTTTGTGAAATGTCGGGAAAACGAGCAGGCAAGACAGAGGACCCGGTGGGACCCCTCAGACAAGAGGCAAATGATGGGCGGAGTGGGTGAGCGACTTCTGCAGAGGCCCTGAGGGACACTGCACTCCGGACCCGAGCGGGGCCAGAGCAGTCAGATCAAACAGGCCTCGTGGGCCACAGGACAGTCCTGTTTTGACTCCACATAAGTGACACTACGTTACAGGAAGTCGGACCTGTGCCCAAGCCGTGATGTGCAGATTACTGTCCTGTTTTTAGAACAACCCTATGAAATGCTGTCATTAACCCTATTTGTAGACAGGAAACTGAAACTCTACAATACACACTATTCACAGACTCTTTTCCTAAAATGTTTAATTGATAAAATGAAATATTCACTCATTTCTTTCAAGGCACACCAAGATGGGAAGGTCACCGTTTGGTAGGGCGGTCTTTCCCCAAGAGCCCTCTGTAGGACATGCTGGGCCATATTCCGGCGTCAGCACAGGGAGGTGTGTGTTTTTATCTTCCACTGTGCTCCTCACTCCCTCTCAGGCTGAGAGGAGGCCGTCCCCATCACTGAGACGAGCTGTTAGGCTTTGTCAGGACAGACAGGATGGGTGGCTGAGATCCCAGTAGGCGCCATAGTTCCCAGCTGAGGTCAAGCTGCACACTGCCCACGTCCTACGGAGTGTGCGACAAGCAACCTACTGCACCACGATCCGCGTGCCAGGGGCTGTGAGGAGGAAGTGCGAAGTGGTGGGAGGGTACGTCTATGTGTAAGTGGTAATGGAGGCCAGGACACGCTTACCTTTGGTATTGGAAACCGCAACTGAGCTATTTGAACTTCGCTGACGAGAGGAACAGTGATTCGATTGGGAAGCACCAGATAGTTTGATATTATATCCAAAATGATGGTATCTGATAAACCGCTGCGAGGTGGAGGAAAAAGAACAGACCGTTATCAGTGCCTTCTGCAGTAAACACACCACAAACGTGATACAACACCCACCCCATTTACAGGGTAGGAGCAGTCTTTTCCCCAAAACACGTTTAAAACCAGCAGGTCAGTCCATTAGCTGCGGTGCTACCACCGTGCCGGTTATGGAGGGTTTATTCTGAGGACAGAAGGCAGCATCTGGCTACATTTTGTAAGTCCTAAATAACATTTCCTACATAATTCTACCATTGATTTAATACTGAGTAACTAATATGTTTCCTTAAATTTCTTTAACATAAAATATTTCAAACATCCATAAAAGTTAAGAGAATACTATAATATCTTTTTACTCCATCTATGTTTATTACATTAAGTTTCTCTTATAATATACTAGAGGCCCGGTGCATGAAATTTGTGCACAGGTATGGCCCCTAGGCCTGGCCTGCAATCAGGGCCATCTTCCCCAGCTGCCCTCAGCCAGCCCCATCCCCCCTGCCACCCACCCCCAGTTCCCATTCGCCATTGGGTGATCGGTGCCTGATGGCTGGGGGAAGGCACCAAGAGGTCGGCCGATCTCGCCTGCTCACCGGCTCCACCCCCACAGCAGGTGGCCATCAGGCGATAGGAGCCTGCAGGCCAGGGGAAGAGACCAAGAGGGGTAGGGTCAGTGTGCCTCACAGTGACTGGTCCAGCGGTCATGCTGCTGTTAGGGTCAATTTGCATATTACCCTATTATTATATAGGATAGAGCAGTGGTCGGCAAACTGTGGCTTGTGAGCCACATGCGGCTCTTTGGCCCCTTGAGTGTGGCTCTTCCACAAAATACCACGTGCGGGTGTGCATGTACAGTGCGATTGAAACTTCGTGGCCCATGCGCAGAAGTCGGTATTTTGTGGAAGAGCCACACAAGGGGCCAAAGACTCTCATGGGGCTTGCAAGCCGCAGTTTGCTGACCACTGGGATAGAGGCCTGGTGCATGGGTGGGGGCCGGCTGGTTTTCCCTGAAGGCAAACACAGCCCCTTCAGGGTGAGGGCGGGGGTCCCGCTGGGGTGCCTGGCCAGCCTGGGTGAGGGGCTGAGAGCCGTTTTCAGGCTGACCACACCCCCTTCAAGGTGGGGGTCCCCACCTGGGTGCC